TTTTACACTTTAAACATTTAGATGTGGAACGAACCCTTAGGAGAGAAGTCATGGACTGGGCAGGCTCAAAGGCTTCATAATTGGGCGTTGATGTCGCTTCACTAACGACCCCGCAGGTGGCTGGCTCAGAATGAGAGTCTTTCAGGAGGTAGAGAGCGTGCTCGTCGCTGGTGGACGCCGGAATGGGCTCAAGACCAAATGTCTCATTTTCAAGGAGGATCACACCCCTGTGGAGAAGTAGAGCACAGTGAGGAATGATATGGACCGGTTTCATGGAAGTCCAACGGCTCAGCAATCAAATAAGAATGGGAATGGCTGCACAATATTGAAAAAAACAGAGACATGATATGCTGATGATCACTACAATGTCTACACAGACTCATATGGGTTGCAGTTAGCCCATATTTTCCTCACACTTCAGGCTTAAACTGCTAATAACCTCTAGGAGTTCGCTGACTATAGTCTCAACTTGAATCTGACAGAGAATGTCTAGAGGAAGCTAATAATGTGGAGCTCATCAACAAAAATAGCAGTGGAAACTGCAAAAAGCAGCTCAATGATCAGTGATTGGACCTGACTGCTATATAATATTTAGGGCAGGTATAAATGATTTAACAAATGGCATTTTAAAAAATTTAAATAAAACAAATACTTTTGAAAGTTTGATGATCTTTCCAGAGTCGCCATTCTTATTTTCTTTTGAAGAAGTAAATGTTAATTTCAAGTTGTGGAAATTCTTCTTATCAACAGAAAAAGGGAGGCTGGTCACAAGACGTCAGATTTAAAGAACTTTTTAACATAAAAACCATTAAGCAGGCAAAAAATCAAATATTCATTAAGTTCACATTTCTGTATTTTTTTTTCCTTTTGTTGGTCTGATGAAATATTCAAATCACAAAGTTTTCAACATCTACAAGCAAAAAAATCACCCTACAAACAAAAATAAAGGATTGACGATGTGCTTTTATAATGAATTGATTAAGTTACTGAAATAAATAAACTTCAGTTGGAATGTAAAATATTCTGCATGCAAATAATCCAAGCAAAAGTAGAAACCTGAGGCCGGAGCATGTGCTGAGCGCAACCACTGAACGTTCGTATCCCTCCACAGACCCATGGTAGTAGCAGTTCACCTGAAAATTTAGAACAATTTAATTTTTTTTTTCTGAAAGCAGTTCTTATAAGGATTAATGGGAAACTCACCTGTTGTCTTGGATATGAGATATTGTAGTTACCGCTGGCATCACGAGAATACTGGACAAAATTGGGGTGTAAAAATTCTCTGAGTAAAAGAGAAAAAATAAATATTTCATTTTGAAGATTAAAAATTTGAAGATTAAAAAACATTCCAGAGTGAATCTTAAAATGTTGTGCTATCATTCAAATGTAACTTAATTCTGCAGTTAAACTCAAAAAGTGTTACATGTGGGTTTTTTTTTTTGTTGCTTGTTTGTTTTGAAAATCGGCTCCCAGCTGATCAAAAACACAACTTTCTATTGTTTAGAACAAGATTTACCCAAGATCTTTTAAAACAACTAAAGAACTCTGAGCATCCTCAAAGACTTTTGGAAAGTTGAGTGGAAGGAAGAACAACCATGATGCGCAGAGTTGAGTTTTCAATAGGAGAAAGCCATAATCACACTTAAAACAAATCACTTTCTCTATTGTAAGTAGGATTGTAGTATAACTCTCACTGAAATAACTTTTTTAGTTTTTAGTTTTATTAAGATGAACCTCTATCGCCATCAATGTCAGTGATGATGAGTTTGTACCTATTCTTTTCCAGATGAAGAATATGCTCTTTGTTGTTGATCATCAGTGTGTAAGATACTTTATCTCCATTTGACTATATGAATAAAACAAAAACAAACAGACAAAAATAATAATGTAATCATATTAAGTCAGAAAAAGTTAGTGAAAGAACATTTGTAACATCAGGAACTTACCTCTTTTGCCCCATTGAGGCTCCTTGTCCACCTGTTGTTAATCACTTGTGGTTTTACAATGGAGTATTTGGGCAGTTTTGATGTAAAGCCACTGGAGTCTTCTGATGGAAAGGAAACATCATAAAATACTTGGAATAGCAAATGCTATTCACACGCAATCCGAGCACACACCCATAACAATTATTAGGTAACATTTCAATCCAGATCCTTTTGATCTCTTTCATAAAACAATTTGATTAAATTAGAACATGCTTTCAGAAGATGGATTGTCAATAAGCCGGAGAGGATCCACCAAAAGTACTTCTGTGACCCGATCGGTCTGAGAGAAATGCAGAATTAAAGCGACTTCTCTTTTTCAAAGGGAATCAAAAAATAATTTAAATATCACTCACCTTTATTTTCTGTCCCAGAAATAGAGACGTGGAGGATAAAAGCGATCAAAATGGGCTTCCTGATAACCATCATGGTGAAAAAAAAAGAGTAAAGCATCAGCATAAGGAAGTCTGCTTCTGTTCAGGTGCTCTAGTGGGCGTGGCTATGATTGGTGGGCGTATTACGGGAAAACGAGGAAGACAAAATTACACTTCTTCGGGGACTTTTAAAATTTGTTTTAAAAAGTCACAATGTTTTTAGGGGTAAGGTTTGCAACTGAAACTTTGTTGCAAAGTTTTGTTATGAATCATTCCTTCGGCTATTTAACATCATTTTGTAGCTGGCACAGCAATCAAGTGGTTTATAACTCGGATGTTTCTTCCTGAATCCGGACTGTCAGGTAGATACAGCTGCTGTTACCAGAGGCGTCCACAAGAGGGCATCATAGTTTAAGGAACAGAAAAGCCCAGATCTACAGATCATATTAGAAACAGCTTGGCTGTTTAGCACATGTAGAATGTAATAATTTATTATTAATACTAATATTAAAGACAATAATTGATGTTAATTCTGCCTAGCAATGTTTTTTTATTTTAATTGTGTATCACTTTGTGAGCAAGCAACGAAACATGTACTTTGAGTTTACCGTATGTTGAGTTCCTATAGAACAAAGCATTTACTCTTCAATAATGCAATGTGATAGCCAGTAAAATTGTATCCAAAGCATAAAAATGTAAAAAAATAAAATTAAAAAAATGCTCACCTTTAAGGTAAAAAGTATCTAATCCATGCATTTCGGCTTTAAATGATTTGCGTCTGTGTTTAATGATGTTGTCATGCACTGACATTGTTTTTAGCACCAAAAGCTTGCCAAGTAAAGTCAGTTGAAACTTTAATATAGTTAAAGAAAAGCTTTAGAATATCAAGGTTATTTGGGCAACTCGTTTGGAGATTTTTGTGTCTATAGGATATAGTTTGATATGACACAGCAGGACCTGGATCACTGGACCAATCAGACTTACACTGACTGACAATAATGAGGGATGTTGAATTAGTTTATTTGTTTGTTGCACCAATATTCTTTCTTTCACATCAGATTTAATTGATCAAACCATCTTTTATGAGGATCTGCATTCCAGAGTGAAAAAGCCAACATGTGTCTTAATTTCCAAAAATTGCCAGGAGTTTATTTTTACTTGAATCTTCAATTCTTTTCTCTCTCTGTGTGTGTGTGTGTGTTTGTGTTTGTTCTATTGCCGTATGCAGGATCTCTGCCTCTAACCCCCAGGGCATCCCAAATGAAGCTGCTTCTGCAAGATAACAGTGTGTTACGCTTTACATTTGTGAAGAAAAAAAACGCATTGCCTGAAATTATTAAATTTCCAATTAAAAGAAAAAAACTCCCACAAGAGTCGGTTTTATTTGGCAGTTTGTATTTGTAATTGTCATAAATTACCCTGCTTAATGCTTTCCCAAGAGCCTTGGGCTAAAGAAAATAAATCACCCAGAAATTTCAATCATGACGGTTGTGAAACTCAGCCCAAACTTTTCTAAATTTGCCCCGGAGGAAATATTAATGCATGAACAATTTTCTTAATGTTTTAATGAATAAATTTTGTTAAATTAGTCCCACCATAATACATTCTGTCGCCCTTTGGTTCTTCAAATATTTAAAAATAAAAATTAAAACCTTCAGAATAAACTACCTGTAGAGCAAGCAAAATGTTAATTTTATGTGTGAAGATAAGATCAGGATTACGTTAGCTGAAAATTTATTCAGCATCAACTTTCTCATAGCTGTAAAAAATAAAAATAAAAAAAATAAAAATGCAAATATAAAAATGTGTGACACAAAAATAGCACATAATACAAATATTTTGCTGGTTAATGTTGCATATCCAGTCATTTAAAACCAATAGATTCATAGTTTGTTGGAAGAAATTTGAATTTTACTACATATCCCACAATTCCGGGGACGTTTTAGTAGTTTCCTGAAATATTCTGTGGGTGCGCATCATTCTTAATCCGGCGTATCATTCTTAATCCGGCGAGTCAATCAGTAAGCCGACATCCAGCCTTGAAAGAAACGTCTGAACTCCACCTCAACTACACCTGAGAAGGTTTGTCGACTTGCAGGAACAAAAAGAAAATCTTAAATAGAACAGAAGCTTGTTAATAAATGTAATTTGTGTATCTGTCAGTAAGCTTACAGTCACTGAGCAAGCACAATATTAAGTATGAATAATTCAATAGAGAATACCGGGAGGAAGTAAAGGGATGACGTTTAGATTTTAGTGCTGTCCGCGCGTTATTTTGTAATAACCACTTCCCGCCGCCAAAAACGCATTTTATCTAAATCATGAAATCCCCGCCCCATCGTCCGGCTGACTGTTAACGAATGCGACCCGTGTTCGTGAAACGTCACGTGACTTTAAACAAGGGACTTGCTCCTTTTGTCATCTCCGGTGAGGAAGCCGGCGAGACTCGGTCAGAGGCGGCTTGTGCGGAGTTTATCCACTGAATGCTTGAAAATGTTTTCACCGAATAGTTGCAATCTATAAGAAATATTCAACTTGAATGCCGACACTAATGTTCAACGAAACAAATACCCTACGAGGAACAATTTACAGACTCCGCCTACTCGGTGTTCCGGGTGCGTGGAAATGATGCGGACCCCATAACTTCAACCAGAAGGTGCCTCCTAGCTGTAAGGAACAGGAGAGGAGTGTGAACTGGCTTAAAGTGTGTTTAAATGAAGGTTGTCCGATGAACAGTCAGCACAGAAAATATGTGTACAGCTGTGCATGTGATGATTAATCCGTTCTTCGCGTCTCGTTAGCTTTTTCCATCGGGTAAGTAGCTGCTAAGTTGTGTATGCAGTTAGCTGTCAGTTACAAACGACAGTTAAAGCTGTGTTTCTGGGCCTTAACGTGTGTGGGGAGCAAAAATGCACTCTGTAAATCACGAACGATAGATACTGAACACGTGTAACTCGCTGCTGTTGCTTTACGGTCAGTTTTCTTTGAGCTATTGTTTACTAATAAGTATATGATTGTTGCTCTGAATGCGGATAGCTAGTTCTGAGTTGGACTAAAATACTTTATTACTTTGTTTAAAATTGAGACCTCATTACCACAGCTGTTAACAGATAACATTAAGTTCACGCTGGAAAAGCTGAGTGCCTTCATCAGCTTTGTGTGTCGATTGAAAGTATTGATGTTAATTAGCAATTATTGAACAAATTTGTGATTTTGATCTGTTGCATGAATGACAAAGTGCTCTCTTCACTCCTAAAGTGCGTCTAAGCTTGATGTTTGGACATTGTAACTCTGAGTTAAAATGTTGTCTACCACTGTGTTGAAATGTAACCAATTGCAGGGGTGGAAAAAAAATCCTCCTTTAGTTTCTGACTCCAGAAATGAAGGCCTTTGTCCCTGTGTGCATTTGCAAACTGTAATCTGGCTTTTCATGTTGAATGACATGACACCATCCATCAGACAAACCAGTCGGTTTGTCTGCAACTACTGAGCTATCAGTGGTTGCAGTTTGTCCCGAGGTGAAACACTCCTTACCTGGAAGAACTGAACCTTCTTTACCTGTGACAGTATGATTGGAGTGTATCATTACGAATGTGCTGCAGCCATAGAGATTTGGTGAAAGGTAATCTGAAAACAGATGAACGCGGCTCCTTCAAGCATTTGGATATTATTCCCAAAGATGAACCAGACTTGAGCAGCTCCACAATTCTCTTCCTGATATGTTTTTGGGCTTTAATTCCTGGTTTAAATAATTGGTAATCACTCTGTATGTAAATTTCAGTTTTTAAAGACATTAATAAATAAATCTCTGACATACTCTTCCTCCACACTGCAAAAACACAAAATATTACCAAGTAATTGTGGTCTAGTTTCTAGTGCAAACATCTTAGTACACTTCAAATAAGACAAAATTAACTCAGAAGTAACTTTTCAACAAGATATAGGAGCTTGTTTTAAGTCAGCAATTCCTTAAAATTATAGAAAAAACACTGGTTTCACTGGCAGATTATTTAACTCGTAACCTGGGAAATGTCTTGAATTAATCTTCTAATGGAACCAATACTTTTTCTGCAATTTTTTTAGAAATTAACTTAAAACAAGTTACGATATTTTGCTGAATAGTTATTTGTACGATAGTTTTATCTTATTTTCTGTGTACTTGGATATTTGCACTAGAAACTAGACACAAATTACTCTATAAGATTTTGTGTTCTTGTAGTGCAATTAAAACTCACAAAAAATAATTTTTGTGAGTTTGATCTGATTTAACTTAAGACAGTAAGAAAAAGATACTTGTGTCTTTTTATTCAGTTCAGATAAACGTTAGCTTGTATTATTATTTAAATAATACAAGCTAAAGCTATGGTGTTTTAAAGTGTGGCCCGGGGGCCCTTTCTGGCTCATAAAAGGATTTTGTTAGGCCCCTGACCACAAGTCAAGAATGGTCAATATTTTGGCCAACAAAGTAGAAAATAATTAATGACCCACAAAACATGTGGACATTTTTTTCCTTTTACTGAGGGAGCCATTGGAAGCCCTTTTCATGTTTTGAATCTGTAAAGTTAAGCAGATTTTGGAAAAACAAAAATGTTGTTGAGCAGAAAAGAAACAATCACAAACAAATTTTTACATATTAATAAATTTTGTGGCCCCCAGGGTAAAACGTTTGTACGCCACTGAACTAAAGCACAGGGTTTTTCTTTGTCTTTCTCAGTGAATCCACTGTGACTCTCCTCTGAGGCTCCTGGGAATCCCTGTGATATCAGACACAACCATGTCCATGTTCAGCACAGGCATCCTTGTGCTGACCTCTCCTCTCCAGACGCTCCCGTTACGCATCGCTCCAGTGCTCAGCTCGGCCGCTCAGCTCGTAGACCGCACGCTGTACGTCCACCTCCATCCCGGGCTTAACCTGACCAGCGGGACCCAACCTCGACCCGTTTTCATTCCGCCCGTAGTCGACCTGTCCACGCTCATCACTCGGCTCTACAACAACGCAGCGGATGTGTGCGGCCACCTGGATGTTCGGGTTCTGCTCACTAATATTCGCGCTCAGCCGGCTGCAAGCGGCGGGGCCGCGACTCCAAACTGCCCCTTCCCCACACCGCAGCCTCTGTTTCACTCCCCAGACGTGGTGCTGACGGACTTTGTGCTGCAGGACCCGCATCAGTCCCATCAGGTCCAGCAGTGTCTGGAGAAGTACACCGGCCACTGTTATGTCTGTAGACCCGGTATTTCATCAGTGCTGCTTCATCCGCAACTAGTCAAGCTGCAGGAAAACGAAGACGCGCCAGAAAGTGACCAAGAACAAAAGGCTGAGCCTATGGAAACATACAATGATGTAGTGGTAGGAGGAACATTCGACCGCCTGCATGGAGCCCACAAGACGCTACTCAGCATCTCATGTCTCCTGGCCAACCGAAGGTTTGTCCTTGGTGTGTGCGACCAAGCAATGCTTAAAAGTGAGTGGCCCTTTTAAGAGTTTAACAACATTTATTCATGAAAAGCTCTGATGGTAAAACGATGCAGCGCCTTGCAAAAGTATTCATGGATGCTACGACCACGTTATTGTATTTTGGGGGAATTTATCTGATAGAACAACTCAGAGGATTTTAAAAAGTAAGAAACAGAAGATAAATTATACTTGGCTTTTAACGGTTTTTATTAGGGATGCACCAGTATGAAAATATTAAAGTTGCTTTTATGACTCGGGCTGAAACAGTTAATCAGATTAATTGTGATTAATTGATTATTAAAATATTCAGTAATCTGTTAATTGTTATACAGTCTCAAAAAATGCAATTTACTAAAAGAAAAACACGTTCAAAGCAATAATTGAGCAAAAACTGCAAAAAATAAATAGATTTTGATTTTAAGATAAACCTTTGCCTGTGATACGTTTTACCCAGAATGCTTCAGGTGGCATAGTTTTAGCTTCACCTGTTTAAGTTTTCTATTGAGCAACTTTTGATGTCCGAATATTGATCAGTCAATAAAAAAAAACAGATCAAGTCAAGAAGAAAGGGTTGAGCTTTTCACATGTTGATGTTCATAGTAGTTTATTTAGAAACAGATACATTTTAGATACATTTCCTAGAAAAGATTAAGTTTATTCTAAAGAAATAAAATATTAGAAAAATATTCTTGTTCAAAAAGTAATTTAATTATTTATTTTCATCTTTAAATGTATTTCTAATATTGTGTAAAATTAGCTCATGTGGTTAAGTGAAAAATCTGCGCAGTGTGTCAGTTTCCAGGAGAACTGATACTTCTGCAAGGCGCTACCTGTGAGGAACTTCTGGCTGACTGTTGCTTCTCTCCGGTTTCAGAAAAAGTACTAAAGGAGCTGATTGAGCCGTACTCTGTGCGAGTGCAGAGACTCCAGCAGTTTCTGCAGGACACCAAACCGTCCCTGCATGTTGAGATCGTCCCACTTGAAGACCCCTTCAGTGTGTCCATCGTGGATCCTCTGCTGAAATGCATCGTGGTCAGCGAGGAAACGAGGAAGGGCGGCGAGGCTGTCAACGCGAAACGCGCCCAGAATGTACGCTGTTCCATTTCACCGAGTTCAATGTTGCCTGATGTACTTTTGAAAATATTTTGTACGATGTTTATTGTAATAGTTTAGGCTTAACAGATGCTGGGAATCGGACATGTTCTCATTGTAACATCAGTGTTTCAGGCTGTCCGTCTGACAAACCGCCTAAAATTGGAGATCACCTGGAGGAAGGTTGTAATATCCCTTTTTTCTTTTCTTTTTTTTTTTTTTTACTTTAACTAGAACCTTCCACCTCTTGTCCTTCATGAGATCCAGCTGCTTAAGGACGCTCACCGCAACGAAATTGAGGAGGAGAAGATCAGCTCGTCCAGTCTACGCTCTCGTCTACTTGGCACCCTCCTTAACCCGCCTACAGTAAGTTCAGTTTATTTTTTACAAATCCTGGTCAAACAAATAACATATAATCAGATTTAAAGATGGCTTTCTTAAATCTTTATCATATTTGTTTTTGTTTATAATTAGCAACTGAGATTAAGAAATTCTAAACACAAAACAAAGACAAAGAACTGACTTCTGTACCTGTTTATTGGTTTTAACGGCAATAAATTTTCAACAAACTTGAAAATGCAGTTAAATGCAGTAACTATGTGCAGCTTGGTGGTAAACTGCACCATAATCCATTGACTGTTTAAAAAATTTTCTTAAGACATTTCATCTTTGAAAAACATTTGGTTAATTTCTTAGATATTTTGTAAATCTCTTTTATTCATTCATTTATTTTATTATTTTTAACCATTGCAACTGGCTTTTTTGTTTTTAGACCATGAGATATGAAGGGCCTTATAAATAAAAGCTGATGATTATTGTGACTGCAGTGACACAAAGTGACGTCCTACACATAAAAACTTAAAAAGTTGTAAACACTGTTTTATCATTAGATTGAAATATTGTGATAAAACCTATACCATCTGTCTTACCTTAAACCGCACTATGAGAGATTTTATATCGTAAGATTTATTTAATTGATTAAATGAGGACTGTTGCTTTTTCTGTTACTTCTTCATAAACGCAGTTGGCAAATTTCTTTCTGGTCAGAAAGAGTAAACAGTTTTTTGCAAAACAAAAATTACTGCAGGCATATCAGAAAGAGCAGCTGAGTTTTAAATTTGTTGCTGAAAACAACGGTTAATCTTTTAAGCTCTGGATTTATTGTGGCCAGCATAAAGTTTGAGGAAACACAACAACTTTCAAAATGAAGGTCAGAAACCTGGAGTTTTGTTTGCATGAGTGTGATCTGCTCTCTTTGTTCGCTGCTGGTCATCCAGACGGTTTCCTCTGTCGGGCAGGCGGCCTGTTGGACTCGACTTCAGGAGCCCTGACTTGTTTTGTTCTTGCTTCTCCTGCCTCATTGAAATGTTCTTGTGATCTCATGGGTTCTTTTGTGTCAGGGTTCGCCCCACCTCCCTCCTACTCCCTACGTGATTGGCCTGACGGGAGGCAGCGGCAGTGGAAAGAGCTCCGTGGCCAAGCAGCTGGAGGTTCTTGGCGCGGTTCGGATCGACTGCGATAAGCTGGGTCATGAGGTGTACCAGCCTGGTGCACAATGCTATCAGAAAGTGCTCCAAGTCTTTGGATCAGGTAGAGACTAGCTTTACTTTCAGGGCTTGTTAGACCTGGCAGATATCTGTGATGGCGCTTATTAAACATAAATTATGCAATGATGACATTAATTTACTTTCAAAGTATTTCTTGATACATATAGTAGTTGCAGTACCTTTAAAAAGTAGTGCAACTTTTTGCAGAACGTTTTGACAAAACGTTTTCACATGTTGCCACATTGCAGCTACAAACATCTGGTTGATTGTTTGTATTGTTGTCCTTCTGAGTTTTTTATGTATTTAGTCTGAGTAGGTGATATGGTTTACAATAAAATCTAGATTTTTTTTTCTCTCATACCAAATTTAATTTGTGATTTATTTATTTTTCTTCTTTCTTTTCTTAAAAAGAAATTATAAGTGACAAATATTTCCACAAACTGGACTTTATTTCTCTTCTGTGACTTGACGTAAATTCTAAATGATTACAATTAGAAACCTATTTTGAAACACGCTTGTCAAATGAGTTGGTAGGCTTTGGGTGGTTTGACGTCCCTTTGAATTATGGTGTGAAAAAAAAGAAAATCCAGATCTTCCTCAAATTAAATATTTAAAGACAAAAATAATTGATTGATTATTTTTACCCTTGTTTTTAGTTCCCCTAACAATTTCTGACATGAATTCCCACAGCATGATGCTGCCACCACCATGTTTCATGTTTTTTTGCATATAGTCCAGAAATGTCAGTGGTGGTCCAGCCTGATTATAGTACATTCTACATGTGTGATGCATGTCCTGCATGACTTTTTAACAATAATTTCTCTGCTTCCACCTGAGCTGTGTATCTCTGCAGCTCCTCCATAGTTAGAGAGCTTTCATCTGTGTCTTTTGCCACAGGTTCTTCATTTTTGGTGTGAAATTTGACTGGGATATTTAAATATATATGCTCCAATCTATGTATATATTTGACAAGCATTCCCCTCTGCTGTTCAGCTTTATGTTAGGAAGTTTGCAGATGAGTCCTAAACTTTCCATTTGTGTCTGGTTATTACTTATTTCATTGTTTGAGTTTTTAAAAGTAAGGAATTTCAACTTAGGAGAAATGTTGCTTTCAGATATTTTAAGCCTTTTCTCTGTTTCATTTCTTACAGAAATTCTGAATGAGGATAAAACCATCAACCGGCGAACTTTAGCATCAAAAGTATTCGGGAACCAGGTATTTCAACACCGGATGTGTCGCAGTGCAATGGTCTGCAAAGTGCAGTTGTTCTTTTATATCTGACTTAAGGGTGATGTTTGTTTTCAGGCTCGGTTAAAATGTCTGACAGACATTGTGTGGCCTGAGATTGCAATTCTGGTCAAGCAAGCAATAAACCAAGCCAGGAAAGAAGGTATTGTATTTAATTATTTAAGCTGCACACAGTTCTTTCAAGTGTTTCTGTCTGATTGACAGTGGTTTTTGTATTTTTGCTTTCTTGAATCCTGATATTAAAAACCAAATCATTTTTAGGTTTTGCTGTGATCGTCTGCTAGAATCGGTTTGACAGAAACTTTATGGCAAAAATGTGAGAAGCTGGAACAAAAAATGCTGAAGTTAATAGAGTTAATGTGAATGTTTGATTCCAGTAACAAACTTTAATTGCATGCTGCACACACTGTCACATTTTCGGCCACAGTGTGATCTTGTCCCTAAAATTATTTGGTCTTTGTTGGTTTTTAGGTAGGGAGGTTTGTGTGGTGGATGCAGCTGTTCTTCTGGAGGCCGGCTGGATAGACTTGGTCCACGAGGTTTGGGTCATCATCATTCCTGAGGAGGAGGTAATGATTTCCTACCAGCGTAGAAGCAGCACTTATACAGACTTTGAATTACAGATTCACATAGAGTTCTTCTCTAAAATGTACAACTCAGAATCTGCAGCAAAACTTAGGAATTCTGATCAGTAGCCCTACATCCAAATGGACTGAGATCGAGCCCATTTGAAAAGATAAATTGGCAAACATTTAGAATCTAGATGAACAAAGCTTTAGCTAAAAGTTTGTTTTCAGAGATTTATAGATGTATTTATAGATGTAAAGTTGAAACTTTGCATTTCTCTGTGAAGTCTGGTTGTCATCCGACAAAACGGAAAGAATTTCAAGAGGCATAAATACTTTTTCAAGGGTGTGTTTTTCAAGAACCATTAAAGCCATTAAACATTTGGTTTGAGTATTTCATGTATTAAGGCTTAATATGTGGTGACCTTGGTGACCTTTTTTGTGTTTCTTTTAAACAATGCCACTCGAGTGCACCAGAGTTTCTAAACTTATCTTTGCTATGAAACAACTGACGTTTTCTTTTTTGGCAATTCTTTCCAGGCTGTGACAAGAATAATGGAACGGGACGGGATCAGCAAAGAAGACGCCCTGCGCAGGCTGCAGAATCAGTGGCCAAGCAGCAAACAAGTCAAGTATGCTAACGTAGTGCTGAGCACTCTGTGGGAGTCAGAGGTCACCCAGAAACAGGTCAGACACTCATCATCACGTCAGTAATTTCATGAAGCAGTTGCAAATAATTAAAATTCACTTTTCTTATTTTTTAATAAAAGGTACTTAAAGCTTGGAATCTCCTTCAGAAGAGAATCCTGAAGACAGAGGGATGATAGAAAATATCTCCGGATTACATCGGCTTTGACTTGTGGAGAGAAAACGCAGAAGGAAGCGTGTGTGTGTGTGTGCCAGTGACCAATCCACCGGAGGAAACACTGCCTTAAACAAAACGTGAGGCCAGTCATCATGCATCTCTAGCTAACCAAGCAGGCTCCCTCACTTCATTCAAGAAGTCAGTGCCTGGGCCTCTGCAGAGGTTTTTAAGTATCATTTTATGTCCAAGATGCTCAATTTAAGGATGAATGTGAGAAAGTCAACTTGGAAGCGAAGATGATTTTGATTTTAAATGAGTAATGATCAGTGAACATTACTGACCATGTTAATACTATAAATTACTAAGGTATTATAGTTCAGTAGACACTAATTTGTACATAAATCCTTATTTCATAAATGGGCATTACTTAAAGTCTCTCATTGAACTTTGTAATTAGTTTCCAGAAAGGAGAAATTGATTTAATAACGTTTGGGGGAGATTCTGAGATCTGATCTGTTAATCAGCGCATCAGTTTGGTCTGAAGTGACAGAAAAATTGTTTATATTTAAACAAGTTAATGTTTAATAAATTGAGGTTTACAAAAAAAAAAAAAAGATTCTGTAATTTGGGTGTTCTTGAATTTCAATTTTGCTTTTGTTATTTTGCTGCATCATACAACATAACACTAAAATAGATTTCTATTAAGTTAACTTTTCTCATTCATTTGAGCAAACTTGCTGCACAACTTTAAATTTTCAGCCTTCTAAGTGTTGTACACATTTAATGAACCAGGTTGTGTTCTTTAAGAGTCTTTATTTTAGTGCTTTTATAAAACTTTTCTGTAAACAATATTGTAATATACAAATGCATCTGTAATGCCATTTATAAAATTCAGATCAGGTCTTACATCGTTTTACCTTGTGTTTTAAAAAAGAAAAAGACGAATTTCAGCCACAGCTGAGCAACACAAAGTGTGAAACTTTAGCAGTACTTGTAAAAATCTTACTTTCCTTTAACACCGCTATCATGCAACACATTGGTGACTTCAGCCATTTGTGTCCACTAAAATAAAACGAGTGTCCATGTAGCAGCCTAAACAAAGGAGATCTACTAACGCACAGCCTCTCACAGTTCGACATTTAGCTTTGCGGAGCACGTTGCCTCCCCCAGCTTGTTTTGGGCTCTGCACACGTAAATCCCGCAGTCAGAGAGCACCAGATCAGCCACAACCAGAGAGCAGAGGCCTTCATCATCCTGCTGCATCCGCACTCTGCTCGAGTCGCTCACCGGCTCCTCGTTATGAAGCCACGTCACCTCAGGTTGTGGGTAACCTGTGATTTGGGGGGGAAAAAAAAAAATTTTGAAAAAGAAACGGTTTCTTGATTTTTATGCATCAGGGCAAATACTGGTTTCTTAATTGAGATCATACTGAAATTGAAAACAACCCAACATTTTATTTCCCAACTCTTCAGGCCTCTGTTAGCATCTTAAAGTGCTTGTCATTGTATAGCTGGGTTTCAGTTGCTGCTGCTCTTTAAAAACTTGTTTTGCACCTATAAGATAAATCACTGATGACTTTAAAAGTTCCTATATAATTGAGCCTCTTCTGCAGATGATAATCTCTATCACAACACACAATGTGTGTTCAAATGGAGTCTTAAGGGTAAAAAATAAAATAAAAATAGGGCTTTGTGTTAATAAAATAATTTTCTTTTTGTTTTAGGAAGGTTGAAGTATGCTTGTGTTCTGGTCCTGCTTTAACGCCACCCTGTAGTCAGAATCTGAACCAGTTTCAAAAAAACATTTGGAGAAATAAACAAATTTAGAGAATCTCTTAAAAAAAGCAATACTGACCCAAATTAAATTATCCAGTTCTATCTGAATGCCAATGTTGACCTCCACATTTAGCATCAAGGTGTCATAGAATGACACCTTGGTTTTAAGAACTTTACAGCTTTTGCTGCCTAACCTTTTTAAAAATCTGTTTTGGATCTGTGACATTTGTCTTTAGATTTGAGCCGTTTCAGGATGAAGAAGTCAGCTTTTGTTTTGTTCTTTGACAGCATCAAATCCACCCTGAGTTTTTCCATAGTTTGGAGATCTAAATCTCATTTCATGCAGTCCTACATAAAAAGAATGCTATCTAACAAATGATTCATACTATAGCAGCTCAGAATCTCATTCTCTGTAGTTTTGCTCCTTGAGAACCTATTTTGGATCTATAAAGAGCATCGGTGCTCTGTCAGTACCGTCAACCAGGCATGTCAGCTGAGCGGTCTCTCCCTTGAGAAGGGTCATGTCCTTCAGGGCCTGCTGGAAGTGCGGCTCAGTCTGCAGCTGCCTGTCCAGCGACTGGATGGCCTCCTCTGCCTCATGGCTCCACACTGGCTCTGAATGGACGACAAAAGAGAAACAAGGCCACAGTGATCAGAGGAGTGTAAACTTGAAGTGACAGTCCCCAACTGTGAGTCATTTGGCGTTTGTGCGGAGATCTGGGACGAAAGAAGGCATTGTGTCCGTTACCCTCTGAGAAGCTGCCAGGAGAATCCAGCTTGTTGGTGAGGTTAGCCATCCGGTTCAAGGCCAAAACAGCTTGGCCAGTTTTCTGTAGGGTGAGAGGAGAAATAGTGACTCATGACCAACACTACTCACGGCCAGGCTTTGAGTTTGTTTTTGTAGTCTTAAATTAAAAATTCCTCAGGAGACATCTTTAGAAAATGCATCGTCTACCTTCCACTTGCGTCTGGCAAGGAAGCGCTTCATCTTCTCTTTATTCAGAGACTTGGTGGGTCTGCGGGTCAGAGGGGTGAAAGAAGCCATCCAGGAGTGGGCAAGGGCCTCTCTGCACGACAGCCTAGATCTTTTATCAAAAATGGGCAGATACTGAGCAATAACAATTGTCAGATCTTTACCTTCATTCTTTAATTAAGTGCAAAATACTCCTTTTAGTAGTTTTGTATTAGCTGAACATGCGATCATTAGAAAACATAAGGCAGACCAACCTTTGGTCTTTCTTCAACAGGGAGCTGATAAAGTCCTTTGCCTCATCAGAAATGTCTTCAAAACTTTCCGGGTCAAACTCAAAGCTGGCTGCTGTCACCAGAGCGAAAGTCTCAGCGTCGTTTTTTCCCTGGAAGGGAGATTCTCCACTCAGCCTGGATCACAGAGTGAAAAACAGGTTCAGACGAGCTCGCCTTGCAGGGTAGCTATTTTTTGTGTGGCCAACATTTCTACTTAGAAGAAAGTTAGTAGTTTAAAACTGATAACATAAGATAATATCCTCTCTCAGTAGGATTTGCTCCTGTTAAGAGAAAACCAGCAGATGGTGCCAAATCAGCATCTATTCAGACACTCTGAGCCACAGGTTTTTGAAGAAGACTTAGTGCTGCATTGAAATTCAAATGAGCACCACCAAAGTTCAGCTTACAGGATGAAGCAGATGACTCCGATGCTCCACATGTCGGTCCCAAATCCCACAGGCTCGTAGTTGATCACCTCAGGAGCAACAAACTCTGGAGTGCCATGCATCACCATCAGAGGTTTACCCTCCTCTACAGGACGAGAGAAGTCCAAAACAAAAATTAGCATTTACAAAGAGTCACTCCTACTGTGGGGCTAAATAAGACGCTGCTAAAGTCGGACAATGACCTTAATCCTACCGCCAGTAGATTATTTAGATCAAAGTTTGTTTATCTGAAATGTCCCTTCTGAAAGGCACTTTATACATAAACATGATTTAAATATAAATTTTTAAATTTTAGACGCTTTTAATAGAATAATTTAAGATTTGATCCAAAAATGATTTTTAAACAAGAGTCTCTAATTGTTTCTACAGAGAAGAAGGTGCTTTCGTTTCACTTTCCTGAAATAGTTTCACTCTGTCATCTATAAAAAGACTTGTTGCAACATAACTGCTGTTGTAGAAATCTAGGCATTTGAGACGCCCTGATGTTATCTTTGGCATGCAGTCACGGCTGTTCTCTTCCAAAGTTGCACTTATATAGCATACTAAACATTTGTTTAATATGTTAAAACCTATATTTTATGTGTGATTTATAAAATTGATATTTACCTGAAAAAAGATATTAAAACTGTATTTATTAGATCATCTTCACTGTATTGCTCACATTTACCTAGTTCCCTGGCCAAGCCAAAGTCAATTATCTTGATCTGCATGCCGGACGTGTCCACGCAGACGATGTTCTCTGGTTTGAGGTCCAGGTGAACGATGTTCTGCTTGTGCACATACTGCATGCCCTCCAGGATCTGCTGCACATAGCGAGCGCTGGTCAGTTCTGTGTGCTCAAAGTTTTCGTCCACGATGCGTTCAAAGAGTTCCCCGCCGGCGATGCTGGGAAGACAAAAACATCTCAAGGGCCTGGTGGTGTGAATGTGAAGAAATTACCAGATAAAGATTACTTACTACTCCATGACCATGGCCAACTCCGGACGAATTTCATACGCAGCCTGACACTGGACTATCTTTGGGTGGTGAAGCTTGTTCATTATTTGAATCTCTTTGCGAGCTTCGGACTTGTCTTTGGCGGTTCGGGCACGGTAGAACTTGGCTGCGAACTCTTTGCCAGTCTCTTTGTGGGTCACTCGGTACACCTGTCCGAACTTCCCACTGGAATAATGAAAAGTGAGAGGCTGATTACATCTGCTGTGTTTTTGTATTTCTGCAAGATGTGCTTTTCCATTAAAAGAAGTTGCCAGATATTTTTTAGATGTTTCAACAGCTGTGACAGTGCAAGAGACCTGATGACATCTTAGGTAAAATGCTTAACCCATCAATTGTTTTACAGGACTGAGATGTGTAGAATGTAGTTTGTACCCTTGTGTAACCCTGCACCCATGAGTAACTGACAAAGAAGAATCGGAAGTTTCTCCTGAAATCCTTGTCGGCTCTCTTTCCCACCATAAAACAAGAGGTGAGGGACAGTTTATGAGGTATTGCATTTGTGGTCCATCTGGCAATGGATACAAGATCAGACTTTGGGTGGGTCTTTTCCCTGCTGTGACTATATAACGATGTGATGCGACTGTGTGAGTTTGAACGCTTTTGCCTTCAACTAAAGAAACTTAAAGACAAAGATTAATCTTTCTCTTATTGTTGAAACAGATTCTCATTCTTTGATGAATGAAATTTCCATAACAAGGTCATGCAGCATTATGAATTGCCTTCATACATGAATTAATGTTAATGAGAAAGAAAGCGCATACTTACACCCCAAGCTTCTCGTGCACATTGTAGTGATCCTTGACTTTGTGTTTGGTGTCGATAGTCACTGTCACATAGGAGCCGGGCTCCTCTTTCTGTTCCTCTTTAAACAAAAACAAAGAGTTATCAATCTGAACAGATACTTCTTCTATCAACAACACCAGCACATCACTCACTTGAGGTTGCCATCTTAATGTACGGAGACTCCTGGCTCGGGTCGCTGGTACCCGCGAAGTTCCAGGCTCTAACTCTGAACTTGTACCGACCCAGAGGCTCCAAACCTGAGCAAATGTGGCTCGAGGTGTTCTTACACCTTCTTATTTCAGTCCAGCTTCCAGGCTCTTTGGGACCGTCTCGAAGGGCCTCTATGATGTAACCCAAGACAGCTGTGCCTCCGTCGTAGCAGGGGCCCGTCCAGGAAAGAACCAAAGATTGGGTCGAGATCCTGGAAGCAACAGGCTGGGATGATGGAGGAGTGGGTCGGTCTGAAAAGCAAAGAGGATTTGTCTAAATCTCTCTAAATACACCACACCATTGGGGTGGCAGCAAATAAACATTTAAATCTCAAAGTTAAAATGTTGAGCATAAATGGGTAGAAAAAAGGAGTTGAGTGAATCTGACAAAATTCACTCAAAATATTGTGATGGCAGGTTGTTGGGGTCAGAGTGCCTCCAAAAATGCATGT